CTTAAAATCATTCTAAATCAACTGAAATTTGGATAAATTTGTAAGCTTAATAAAGTTGCGATTCGGCCGAAAACTTTTTTCGACCAGATGCGCTTCAGCGACCGTAAGTTCACAATCAATACTACACATGAACCTTAAATAAAAACTTCTAAAACGCATCCAAACATAGGCTAGGGATAAAACGAGGAAAACAGAGGCAAGACAAAGCCAAAGAAAACAATGGCAAGACAAATATGCCATGAGATTCGCAAAATTCCTGGTCATGCAGCTGGGCACAATCTTCATCTCTTCCAGTGATGTATTAGCAAGTTTAAAGATTTTATTTCTTAAAAAATCTGCGGTGAAACGGGACCATCGACAGTAACGGAGATAACACAAAGTGCTAAATTTCGATCAAAAAATCGAGAAAAACATTTACACACCGTAATACCTGACTAAAAATGCTTAAGAAAAATGGGCATTATATTCAACTAGCATTTTAACATATGCGAAAAATACAGTTGATTAGGAAAGCAAAAAAAAGCGGAACAAATCACTGAATTTCACCTTCCACACATTAAAAATAAGACAAAACTACAGCGCAAATAAGGAATTTTTACATTTTGATAAGCTGTTGTTCCACTGTCACCTCTCTTTTTACTATTGATGCAACTGGCAACTTCTCCATTCTTCTCTATTTTAAGTACCTTAGTAAAATTATTCGCTTTTATAGTAACTGCTAACAATAGGTGGAATTATGTCGGCTAAGATAAAAGAAAATATTATTAAGACAGCAGAAATTCACAACGATAATATTTCTTCAAACTACGAAGAATTTAACGTTTGGAAAGTTGAATTTGAAATCTGTCGCTAGCACATGGACGGAAAACATTCGGAAGAAATTTTTGCTTCTATCTTGTCTGGTTCTCGAAATCGCTTCCCTACCGAAATTTCTTCAATTTTTGATTTCTATCTTGTCTGATTCCCGAAATCGTTTTTCCACCGATTTCATCAAACATGCAAAAATGCATTAAAAATTAGCATAAATCATCTGACTGCTTATATATAGCCAAAGATCAGTCCTAATCACATGTGTGATAAATCATGATTCCATTGCAGACTAGAACCAATAATTTTACTTTCCTGAACAAGGAAAAAAAATGGAAAAAAGCATGAATTTAATCCTGTACTATTACATAGATCTTTTTCATATGCTCGAAGCATTAGCAATATGATTTGTTGCATTTCTGGGCTCGTCTGTTGCTACA